ATTACTGTAATATAATTTTTAATGAATAAAAAAAAAATAGACCACCTACAATAGATAGTAGTGAGTTGAAAATAACAAGTACATCAATTGATTGTTAGATGATTGTCAATCTGCTATAAGGCATAAAAAACTAATTAAACAATTGTTACAAGAAAACCTTAACCATAAAAGTTATAAACTAAACAAAATAAAAAATAAAAAATAGGGCAACAAAAATCTATAAAAAAAAAAAAGCCATTTTTTTGTCAATAATATATATATATATATATATATATATATGCATTATTAAAAATTAATAAAATTATTTAAATAACTTAAAGTGATTTGTAAAATCTATATGTTATGATGCTTATGATAAAATTAGGGATATAATTGCTGTTAATTCCATTGTTTCTTATTGCTTTTTTTTTTTCTCTTTTTTTTTTTATAGAATTTAGACAAATAAAAAAGATAAATATGTGATACAATTAGTAATAACAAAAAATATATATTAAATAAAAAGAGAACAAAAATGATATACCTATACAATGCTTTCATACATCTCTAGTTCATTACCCACATTGAATTTTTTTAATTAGTGTTGACTATAACTAATTTTGTGTTCAAATAAGAGTCTCAATTACATTTAGATTTAGAGAGGTTCTAAGACCATACTTGCAGTGCTAAAAACAAATAATGACACCTCTTTTGAAATTGGAGTGACTACAATATCTTACATCATGCAAGACAGTATATGAAACTTTGATGAATTATGTTTCCACTGTAATGCTTTCATTTTCTTTATTCAAATAAACAAATTTTATGGTGGATAAAAATAGATTTATTTTTATTCATAGAGTTAATAATAGAATAAAGACAAAAATTTTATATTCCCTTCTTATGAAAATTTCATAAAACTCCAAAAAAAGGAAAGCTTCCAAGGGTAAAACTTTGAAACTTTAAAATAATCAAATAAAACTCAATTTTACTTCTAACAAATTATTCAGTTCATTTTGAATACATATAAATTTTGAATTCCCACCAAGAACATTTCCAAAATATTCTTTACAACCAAAATTTGTTCGAGGATTTAAATTCTAAAATCTAACATTAAAGTCATTTACAAACTTTGGTCAACCCAAATTATAATTTGATAAAACAATACAGTTTCTCAAATGACTTAGTCCCTATAGAGTAGTTTTCCTTCCAATACCCTTGGATTATGATCCTAGGAGAGACTAGACATCTTTCATTTCTTTATTTTCATTACCTAAAAATATTAGTAAGGGTGAGTATCTCCCGCCCCACTAAATCTCTGGTTTAATATAAGCAAAGTAATTACATGTATATAATGTACTAGGAATATTATTTAACATAAATTAAATTAACATTAACCCTCAAATCATCCAAGTAGCCATCACAAAAGAGCACACACAGAACAAATAGTCAATCATGTTCATCACTTTAGATCATGCATTTTTTTACTTATCAATACGTCATAATACATGTATTATATTACGTCAATTGATATGTCATAATATACGTATCATAATCGCACTTGTTGATGTATTATAACATATATATCGTAACAACATCAACTCACATGTTATAATGCATATATTATAACCTTACGACTCTTACACTACTTCATACACATTACATTTTCACATTAATTTCACTTTCATATTCAATGCCCTTGGAATCCCTTGAGGACTTCACAGTTTAGATAGCTGTCGGTTAGCCACAGCAACACGGATACACGTGTACCGACCCAACCCTTCTAGCAAAGACATAATCAAGAGTCTCGTCAAGAAACGAGTGTGTGACTTGTGAATGCTTCCATTTTCAGCAAATCATTGTGCACTTATTCACACTTGCATTCACCACTATATATTCTTGATAATCAGTTTAGGATCTTCTTCTTCTTTTTTCACATGATATGAAATACTAACTATATATTCTTGATATCTTAATTTTCACACTTGTTGCTAGTTCAATAAAAAGATAATAGTTATTTAGATGCGTATCATTAAAAGACACTCAATACATTTTCATTTATATTAAAGATCAAATATCACACCAAAGTATAACAAGTAACTTATTTGAAGAGAGTTGACCTAATATTTGTTATATATTTTTTTTTCATGTCCAAGCCCATACAATTCAAGATGGGGTTCATAAACACAACATGAACACTAATAATGTTCGAGGTTGAAAAAACCTTTGTAACACTATAAAATATTTTTAGAAATTTGACAAACACCTTAGAATATGCCCAATCAATACATGTAAGTGCTCTAATTGATCTATAATAGTTCAATAAATTGGGGTCCTCAAACTTGAATATCTTAAATGTAGTTTCAAACCTTTTTTTGCATTATTTAGCATCGTATATGTAGAATTTTACCTAGTTGAAACATCTAGGTATAGTAGTTTTTTACTTCAAATTCTAGTAAACTCTACATAGTTTTTAAACTTACATAACCTTTGAGGGATGACTTAACAAATCTAGCAATACTATGTATGTTAGAAATAGAGGTATTCAAATCTTTTGGATCATCATTCACCACTAATCAATAGTTAATGCAACCTTACTATTGTTTGACTTAAAGAACTTTTTTAACTTGGCCTTCTCATCTCAGTATAATTCAAAACATTGTATTGATATTGTCTTGAAGGGAAACTAAATAATGGTTGTTACCAGTTGCTACCAAGAACAAAAGTGAATACAAATTTATTTGGACCACTTACAATAACATGCAAAAAAATTTTACATACCTTGATAATGCTAGTAGTTTGATAAAATGTTTCTATATACAGAGGAGGATTTACATGTACAACTAGCATTGCATCTCATTTCTTATAGATTTTTGAAGAAGTTGTGATGGATTAATTGATTTATCTGTATATGCAATTTTAGGTTGATCAATGAGTTAACTTCCACCACCACTAATTGTCGTAGGTCACTATAGAAATTGTAACAACCTCTAAGTAATGTGTAAAGTTAGTAATTTTTTTATTTAAAAAGTTTTCATTGAACTTTTGCATCATTGATCTAATGTCAATATATATTTAGTTAGAATGCTTATTAAAAATTAGCATGGTTTAAAAGTAGTGTATAACATAAAAAATTAGCATGGTTTAAAAGTTGTGTATAACATAAGTATCTTAGGAATATTATATGAATTTATTTGATATTTTATATTAATATTCAACTAGAGTTAACTAAGTAATATTATGCTTAAAGTGTTTTGAAACTTATTTCTTGTGTTTGAATTTTTTGTATTAGTCTTGAAGTCTATTAATTATACAAAATTTTATGAATCATTTACTCAATTACTTTGTTTATTAATAAGTCTTATGTTTATGTTAGTAACAAATATGGAAAGTTGTCACAAATGAGTATTATTTATAAAACTAAACAAGTGAATATTAATATAAAATATATACATAATATCGCACAAAGACATAATAATGGTATAAGCATACTCAAATATATCTACATAGTGAAATTCTATATTTTTTAAACTTACAACTTAAACATAGAGGTAATTTTTCAAAAGAAAAAAGAACAATAAAGACAACCATAATATGTATCAGAGTTAAAATCACATTAAAAATAAATTAATGTAATATGTAATATAAATGTATGATTGACATAACATCACAATTAAAATTACACAAAGTTAGTTAAAGAAACATGATTCAAGTTGGTATTAAAAAATTGGTCAACATGTAATAAATATACATACATAACTACACTTAGTCATTAAAAGATAAGGATAGACATGTATTAGGACACTTACGTATCATATTAAGTGACATGTATGAGTAATTATGTAGTAAAAATAATATCTTATACGATATAATATATATTTTTATTTTATTTTATTATTTAAAATAATAAAAAAAAGTTATTTGAGAATACTTCTAAAAATGCTATCACTTAATAATTAATACTCTGAAATTATATATAGAGGCTGATAAAAAAAAGAAAAATGATATAAATATGATTAAAATAATACTAAATCAATAAAATTATATGATTAATAATTAATCAATATAAGTATATTTTTAAGTAAATGCTCAATCATAAAATTTTGCTTAAAAGGACCATTGACATTCATTTTGACAAATAAAAGGAGACATATTAGATATATGAATAGAGTGTAAAAACTTTAGTTAACCCATCATTTTTAGCAAGTTAATTGAGTCAGTAGATAAGGTAAACTTATTTTATCAATCCTAAATATAATATTATTTATAGATTAAGATTTGCATAAATTTTTTTATTAGATTTGTTCTTATTAATTTCCAAAAAATGATATTATTTTATTATTCTATAAAAAATATTTTTTTAATAAATATCTAAAATAGTAAAATTTTATTAAAAAATATTATTATACTTTTGTTTAATTTTAAACTCAACACTTCACATTGAGATTAATAATTTTTTTTTATAAATGTATCTTATTTAATAATAAAAATGGTAATAATGAATTTAGTGAAATTCTAATTATTATACTAATACATGAATATCTCCTTTTACATGTATTAGTAAGTTAAGCAGTTAATTTTACTAATTACATATAATTCCATGTATTATCTTATTAGCTTATAGGTTCATCTCTCAACATCTTATCCCTCAAATAATTTTTAATTATCAATAGCTATTTGACTAAATAGACCACATGGATCCAAAACTCTACCAAAAAATGGAGCTTAAACTATAATTTCTCCTTGATAGTTAGACTCTTCAAACAAATTAATCAAAATTTAATATTTTTAATAATCTCTACATTAAAAAAAAATTAGTCAGCCCTTATCTTAATTCGATACAGCAAAAAGAAAAGAAAAAAGGAAATTGTAGTAGGACAAGTTGTATGCAAGGTTTGTGAGTATGAGAACCTATGGGCAAATACCATTGATTACCATTTTTAATTTTCAAGTCATAGAATTGGATTTGAATAAGTACGTTTCAATTTCGTACTATAAATATTCCCATTCCCATTTCCATTCTCTTCCACGAACAAAATCAACAACCCTAGCAACTTTCTCTCATTGCCTCAACATTCTAATCACTCAAGTCTACTCTATTTACTCTATCACCAAACAAAGAGATAACTAAAACAACACTGTCACTACTTTCGCCATTTCACGCGAAACCATGTCGTCTTCGGAATCCCAAGAACCCGCGCTTTCGTCGGAAACACAGATAAGCAAAAAAGCCGCTAAGAAGGAAGCCGCAAAGCAAGACAAGCTCCGCCGCCGTCAGGAAGTCGCCGCCGCCACCACCGCCGCCGCCAACCTCTCAGTCGACGAGACTGACCCCCTCGCCGGAAACTACGGTGATGTGCCGTTGGTGGAGCTGCAGTCGAAGACTCCGGTGGACGTCAGCGCATGGACGCGCGTGGAGTCTCTGGCCGATTGTCTCTCGAACCGCACGGTCCTGATCCGAGGGAGAGCGCAGACGATTCGACCGGTGGGGAAGAAAATGGCGTTCTTGGTGATCAGAGAGAACGGTTTCACGGTGCAGTGCTTAGTGCAGGCGCAGGCCGATACGGTGAGCCCGCAGATGGTGAAGTTCGCTGCCGCACTCAGCCGCGAGTCTATCGTTGACGTTGAAGGCGTCGTTTCGATTCCCACATCTCCAATCAAAGGCGCTACGCAGCAGGTTTTAGTTCTTTTCTGTTTGTTAGGGTTCACGAAATTTTCGATTAGGATACTGCAATGCTCTCTCCGTAGTAGCAGTCATGCAGAGTTTGATTATTTTTTTTAATACAATGCCAATTAGAAATGATATGAAGATTCAAATTATTGAATAGTGCTTTTTGGTAAATGGTATTGTAGTATTGTAATTTGAAGGTGTAGTTTTGTTTATTTATTTATTTGGTAGGTTGAAGATTAGTGGTTGAATTTGAAATTTGTGATTGTTTTCGTAGGTGGAAATTCAAGTGAGGAAGTTGTACTGTGTGAGTAGGGCTGTCTCTACTCTACCGATTAATCTTGAGGATGCTGCAAGGAGTGAAGCTGAAATTGAGAAGGCTCTTCAGGTAGTTTAATTAGATGTAATTGTTCAGTTGTGTGATCGATGTGTTGTTATTATTTTGATCTTCCTTTATATGTGTTTTAATGGGATTTTTAATGGGTGCAGGCTGGTGAACAACTCGTTCGTGTTAATCAGGACACACGATTGAATTTTAGAGTACTTGACGTGCGAACACCAGCTAATCAAGGAATTTTCCGCATTCAGTCTCAAGTTGGAAATGTAAAGCTTGCCATTGTTGATGTTATTTTGAAGAGTTTGTTTTATTGTTTTTAAATCATATTACAAATTTAAGTTTGTTGAAATAAATGCATTCTGAACCACTCACGTAAGAAGTGCATATGCAGTGTCATGCTCAGCTAAATGGTATGATTAACTTCTGGTTGCTCTGTTGGGCAGGCATTTAGACAATTCTTATTGTCTGAAGGTTTTTTTGAAATCCACACTCCAAAGTTGATTGCCGGATCTAGTGAGGGTGGAGCTGCCGTTTTTAGATTGGACTACAAAGGCCATCCTGCCTGCCTGGCTCAGTCACCCCAGCTTCACAAGCAGATGTCAATATGTGGTGATTTTGGCCGTGTTTTTGAGATTGGTCCTGTGTTTAGAGCGGAAGATTCCTTCACTCACAGACATCTGTGCGAGTTTACTGGTCTCGATGTTGAAATGGAGATTAAGAAGCATTATTTTGAGGTATATTTGGCTTGTAAGCAAATGTAATGTGTTTGCTTTTGAAACTGTTGAGACTTGAATGGTTAACTGATGATTTGAGATTTTGGGCAGGTGATGGATATAGTTGATAGATTATTTGTCGCTATGTTTGACAGTTTGAACCATCATTGTAAGAAGGATCTGGAAGCTGTGGGGTCTCAGTACCCATTTGAACCTTTGAAGGTACTTATTCTTTATAATCTTAACTTATCTCATGTAGTGGATTTGTTGTGCTATTAGCTGTGTAGTGTTTAGTTGATTTGTTTTTCAATAGTTATGTGTTGTTTTTGTATCTGATTTGACAATGTCCCTGTGAATGTGCAGTATCTGCGACAAACTCTGCGGCTAACATATGAAGAAGGGGTTCAGATGCTCAAGGTAAGGTTTATAAGTTTCTAAACTAATTAACTTGCAAGTGGTAGATTAAAAAAAGTATGATGGAATAATGGTGATGCCTGAATCTTACTTTATCCTATTGCATCGTATATTTCATGATACTGTGAAGGGGGGAGGGGATGTAAGCACTAATGGGAGTAGCCCAAGCACATTTTAATCTATAGCTTAGCATACCAAATGTCAACTGTCAACAATCATGCTAAAGTCTTTATGTGGAAGTGGAAATGAAAAAAAAAAGACATTTTATTTGTATTAATTGTGGGTTGTATGTTATTGCATTATGTTTATGTGTGTGTATACTAGATGTGTGCGTGGGTGGATTATGCAGATGGTGGTTTTGTTATTGGCTGTGTATTGAGTGGGGAACCATTGTGTGCTAAGTGCTTGCACTGCAAATCTGGTCACCAAACCAGATTGTTTCTGTAATACAATCACCATTTTGTGTTTCTAATTCCTGAGTCCAACAACTATTGTGGGAAATGTCATTTAGACAAATCCTAGTTGGACAAATTTCAGCCTATTTTTTATAGCCACAGAGCCTACCTACAATACCAATGTGACAATGTCAAACTCTTCATGCTTAGTCCCACGAGTCCTCCACCTTGTCTTCCTTCTTGACTCACTCAAAGGCATATCTGAATCAATCGGTTGATACATATGTTATAAACCAAATCATTCCCAATATGAAGTATTGGATATGTTTGTTGAGTCTCTATGTCATGGTCTTCTATGCTTGTCAAAGAAAAATTGTCAGTTTGGGGTCCAATAAAGCATGACATTACTGTGTTGTTTGTTCATTGTTGCTTGGTTGACTTTATTAAGAGGGCTTCTTCAGACAGTCATCTGGCTGGTGAACCAGTTATTACCTGTAATCGTTCTAATTGTTCTTCTCTAAGTGGTGTGAGAGGTGATGATCTGAGGCCTTCCTGCCTACTTGTGTTCTTATAGATGGTTCTAGGAGTTCATTGGCCTGTTGAATCCTTGATCTCAAGACCCAGAACAGAACTTGGCCTATACTGAAACTATTAGGATAATAGGAATTTACAGTATGCATGTCTTGCAACTAGTAATGATTTTGCTTTGTTGCAGGATGCTGGAATAGAAATTGAACCTTTTGGTGACTTGAATACTGAAGCGGAAAGGAAATTGGGCCAGCTAGTTTTAGAGAAGTAATTCCTTTTCTCAGTTTTGACTAAAATTTTTCTTTGTTGTTGTGAGTTATTTTTTAAAATAACTTTTTGACTGTTATTCTATTTATAGATATGGCACAGAGTTCTATATCCTTTATCGGTACCCTTTGGCTGTAAGGCCATTTTATACGATGCCCTGCTATGACAATCCAGCATACAGTAACTCCTTTGATGTCTTTATTAGAGGTAAGTAATAAGTTATTTTGTCATACAATGCCTTGATATCACAATCTGGTGCACATAACTCATGATGTCTGGCTTAACTGTCTTGTTTCTTCAAAGATGTGTTTTATGTTACTGTTCTGTTATTTGACTTGAACTTCTGTTGATTCCTTGTCTCTTAGGTGAGGAGATAATTTCAGGAGCTCAGCGTGTTCATGTGCCAGAATTTTTGGAACAACGTGCAGCAGCTTGTGGCATTGATGTCAAGACAATATCTACATATATTGATTCTTTCAGGTATTATTTATCTCCTCTTCCTTATGCAATGTTTCATAATGCTTACATTATGTGTTTGGGCTCCTACTTCTTAGCTCTGCATTTCTTTTTTGGTCTATAAAACATTGTCTATCAAAAACTAATTGCTTGATTTTGATCATTTGCAGATATGGTGCACCGCCACATGGTGGCTTTGGAGTAGGTTTGGAGCGTGTAGTAATGCTCTTCTGTGGCCTAAATAATATTCGCAAAACATCGCTTTTCCCTCGTGACCCACTTAGGATTGCACCATGATAAAATTATATCCAAACAGTATAGCTCAAATTCCGAGTCTTCTCAATTTTTGTTATGGCAATGTTTTTTCTGTTTAATCCCAAAGATATATATTTAAATTCAGTCTTGGAGCTGATATTTAGCCGTTTATACCGTACTCTATTTCTCATGTTTGACCTGGTGTAATTGCCATTGGGTATTGAACTGACCCAACTTCAGAAGGATCATCTTGCCTCTAATTAAAATCCAGGTTAATCAATGATAAATTTCATCCCATGAGCTAAAATGCACTGAGAGATCATAATTTGATGCGCTTGTTGTCGACGTGGCGGTGGAGGAAGTTGCTGAGTGCTTATGCTTCGTGGCAGACCATAGAAAATATTGATTTAATTTGATATACAAGTCACTGGTTACAAAAAACAATTGTTACACAGGATAATAGATAATATAACATAATCCCATTTGCTAATAATCATCATTATTTAAAACCCAAAATACCCCAGTTTTGCGAACAATTTTTTTTTTTTGGTCCTGCATAAATTTATATATAAGAATTGTATTTTAGTTGCAGTTGCATATTTTATTAAAAATAAATAAATAACCAAATGCATGATACAATGGACTATGCCACAGGATATAACATATGCACTACCAACCCCTATTATGAAGTAGTAGGCCAAGGGAAGCATTCCCGCCAGTAGTCTCTTCAATCTTCATGTTGCTCTATACAATTAAGTTGCCAAGCCACATGTCGTTGCATCCATTTGACATACAAATAAATCAACTAGTGTGCGTAGTTTCACTTACTAATGCCTGCAGTCTTTTGTTTTGGGTACAGCCTTGTATATATATTTTTTATACAGACTAATGCCTAAATTCTAGTAAATGGGATGTAATTTAAACGACAAAAAGAATTGTCTAGCAACAATTCATACTTTGCTTATTATCTAAATGCTGGTGTCTAATACATTGCTTATAAATACTTTTCTCGATATGAATCTTACTCATTTCATTTTGAGAGATAACTCTTGATCTTTTCCTTGTATTTTTAAAACTGAGTTAAATTAAAATACAATCATAATGTAAAAGTTTTTCCCATTTGAGATACTAAAGCTTTATATTGGTTAATTAGTAATAAATTAAAAAGGTACATGAATAACATACCTACAGCATACTTTCTCCTACATTGTTATACTATGTCTGCATTCAAATTTTAATTAGTATGAGAGTAGGAAAAGAAATACAGAAAATTTGTTGCATCTAAAAAAAGTATATAAAAAAAAAATGAATACCAGCTCAAGCAATGAAAAAAGAGAAAAAGGCATGTGATAGAAGCCTAAACTTAAACTTGACTTAACAGGCTCAAACTAAAGATTAAATACAGGTTACAACTACATCAAAGTTAGACTTGAAAAAGAGTGCTACATATCAACATTTAGCAAGTTATAGGTATATAAACTAAAAAGTACATAAGCAAGATGTTCATAAGTTTAAATTACTAAGACTTTTTAAATAAATAAGTTACACAAACATAAAATTATTCTCTCTTACATTCTTGAACTGAGTTTGCACTCAAATTTTAATAACATTGTTATCTAATTACAGATTGTTATATAATTAATTTTTTTATAATAATTATTTTTAAAAAGTATATCTAAAATATGTTAAAATTAAATTCTTTAACAAAAATCTTAAAAATCAATCAAATTAAGTTATTACATTTTTTAAAAAAAATATAAATCAAACACTGAATAAGATAATTATTCTTATTTAGAAGAAATACTACTACCCGACTAAATCCTATTTTAATCTATTAAATTGTAAATATTGATATTTTAATTTTATCACATTTTAATTTAATCATTAATTTTTAAAATAATATTTCTTTAATTCTTTCTGATATAAAATAAAAATAATTAAAATAAACCAATTTTTATAAAATTAAATATTAAAATAAAGATATTATAAAATCATCTGAAGCAGTTGAAGTTTATAATTTTAGGAATTAAAACGGAATTTTAGTGGTCGGTCCCCAAATACAATACGCCCTGTGCGTGCGTGTAATCTGTGACTTTGTTTGAGAGACAGAGAGAGAGACAGAAAATGGTGAAAGGAAGCGAAATGGAAGGCGTTGAAGTACATGAAGCTGTGTTAGATACACTGAACCGTACTTTGGTGAGCCTTCGACAACTTGAAACTGAGTTACCCCAATTCCTCTCTCTTTCTGATCCTCAATTCCTCGCTCAATTGCCACTCCTTCAACGTGCTCACTCCCTCTTCTCCCTCGCCAAACTCGCTTCCACCCTCTTCTCATGTTTGTTGCAACCTCTTCAATAATATCACTACTTTTTCACTTTTATCTATTTTTTCATTCCATTTCATTTCTTTTTTACATTTTTTGTCTTCAGTGAAATTGAGGTGCAGAGGGATTAACCCTGTTGATCATCCTGTGAAATCCGAGCTTGTAAGTGCATTTTTGCAATAATGGGTCATTTGGGTATGCTTTAAATTATGCTGCATGGTATGTTTTCCCGGTAAAGTTTCAACCTTTGGTTATGCATGCTGTTTAAAGTTATTGCTTTTCTGTTCCCCAGGACAAGATTAACTTGTTACAGAAGAAACTTGAACGCCTTCCGCGTTTGAGTGAAGGTAACTCTCGTGTTTCTACTTTCTTCTTCATGAACTGTTTGTTAAGTGGGTTGAGAATGAATGGTCCATGCTGCATCATACCAAGATTAAGTACTTATTTTGAAATTTTAATAGCATACTTTTGTCAGCTTAATTAAGCACTTTTGGAATAAATTCTTTTTACATCAGGGCTTATGTCATAAATTAGAAAATTATTTTGATAAGCTGTACCAAGAAGCTTATTCAAATAAGTTACAAAAAGCTTATGAGAGTCGTAAGCTGTTTCTATAAGCTGCTCATAAGCAGGTCCTAATTCTTTCTTTTGGGTGTTTTTGGATTGTCAGTTCACGTTAGCAAGGTTCTTTTTGGATTTGATTGGATGACTTGGATTCTGAGTATCCTCTTTGTTGAACACTCCTTAACTTGCCTTGTGTATGTGTTGTTGTCTTTCATTTTGAATCTCGAATCTGGCTGTGAAGAACTGGTTATATCTTGCAGCACAGAGGCAAGACACCAGGAACACAAATGGAGGGGATGATCTGCAGATGAAGGATGAGGAATGTGCTGGTCAAAAGAGGAAGCATCCATCTTCTGAACAACAAATTGATGCCATGGAATCCCTGGAGAATAAGGCGGAACTTCTTGGTGATAATAAAGGAAGTATTAGGGGAGCAATAGTAATTGACATTTCAGATGATGATGATGATGATGATGATGATGAGCTACTTGCACGTTGATTTGCCAAATTCTGGTAGAGCTTCCTGTGATGTCCTCATTTACTCTTTTATGAATTTTATGTCTCTCGAATTATATGAATTTTGGTAGAGTAAGTGGATTCTGGTCTCCAATTTGGAGTATGAAGAATATACTCTGACTCTGTCATAAGGAACTATGATCCTACACATGTTAGGGGATCTTTGTAAGTTCACAGATGCATCTGTGGATCCTCTACATATATTTGGACCAACAGCTATTAACATTTATGTATTGCAATTAATTAGTGGAGTGACCATATGAAAACATTTTACTACTTTTATTATTATTTAATAGTTGAAGTTGTAGATTTGTCTTTCAAATGTCTTGTATGTGGAGATTGTTCCAAATTTTCGTCATGGATCTAGCGTCAGTTATCATCAGTAAGTTTTTGGAAGTTAAAAATTGTTATTATCAATTTTAAAATGTAGCAGTTCAGAGAAACATAGGGTGGACTTATATAGACATGTAATCATTGTTTGAAATTTAGGTAGAATATCATAGATGCAACACGTGTCTATATTTGGCTTAAGTTATGTTTTGAAATGTTATTATTTGGAGGATGATACAGAAGAGTAACAACCCAGCTAAAATTGGAGTTTAGCAGTCATTGTTGTTGACATCAGAGGAACCTGGGTAGACTTGAACTGACAAATATCAACAAAATGGGGCACCTATTATTTGTCAAATACTAGTGAATAGGAAACCTGCCATATTTTTGCCTTTTCCTCCCTTGGTAACTCCAATGTCACAATGTTGCAGGACTGGAATCGTATATGCTGCCTAGCCTAGTAAATGATAGGAAATAAGTACTATAATTAATATTAAAGGAAATTAGAAATTAAGCAACGTTGGAATATGAGCTGTGAGCTGATATAGCTGCTTATATCTTTCCAGTATTAGCATTGATTTGGATCAAATCATTTACTCAAACCTGTAAATGGATAAAAATATCCAAGTTATTAACATGTCAACTTGTGGACAAAGAACCTTTATGAAGTCCAAAGAGAACAAAATAAAGACCCCTCTATGGAACTCAAGGATATTTTTTTGGGCCATTGGAATAGGTTACACAGTTGATAACCCTCTCCATTATTATTGAAGGCAGCACAGTTGTTACTTTTTTTTAAAAAATTTAATATTGGTTAAATTTAACTGTTTAGTTTGCTTTTACATAAGCAAATGCTGCTCCAAGTCTAACAGACTCGTGCTTTGTTAGCCTTCCAATATCACATGCCCTTTACTGCTGTCATTTAACATGGAATCTGTGATGAGCTATGCTTTGTTGGTATTGGCAATAATGCTTTTGTAGTTATAAATTTAAGGACCTGCCTCATGTTCACATATTAAAGTCCCAAGTTGGAGGTTGAACTATTGTAACCAAATATACTCTTATGGGTAATTAGACTTAACCATTCTTTATTGTTAGCCATCTTAACAAGGTGGATTCATTTGGACAATTCAAAAAGTTACACCGGGACCAAGGTGTTATCCCATGGCTTATACAAGATCTTTCGATGGTTTTGTGGTGTCATTTTCAAAATCTTATACTCTTAAAAGTAGAGCAATGGAGTCAAATTCATATTGCATTTGCAACCAGTCATTATTAAGTTTTAGCAAAAGTTGGTAATATAGTTTTCTCACTAGAATTTGTTTCCCGATATTTGGAGAATCCTCTATGATTGAGTTCACAACTTAGCATAATTAATGTGACTGAGGGGACGATGGTTCCTGGTATTTATATATGAAGAGCTCCCATTCCCTAGCTGGTTTTGAAGTAAATTAGGTATGTTTGTCACATTTAAATTCTCCCTACCTCCTGTTGGAGTTCATTGCTAGGAACACTAAGTATATTTAGTCTGTGTATGCTTCTAAAGAAAAGCAAAGTATGAACATAATTAATTCCCTTGTTTATTTTTATTATTATTGTTCACAAGTAACCCCCTCCTTCATTTGCTCTTGAACTGATCTATCATTAAATTGTGAGGAAAAAAAAGTGAATTTATTACTTAAAAAAAATCAAAATTTTAGGACTTCATCCAAGCCTCTTTCTTTGATTGTAAGTCACAGTTCATTTCATTTGGGGGTGGGGGGGGGGGGTTGGAATTATTTACATTCTACGTAGATGGACCTTTGCAAGAAAAAACTTGACTAAGTGGGTGTTTGCTCCTTATGTAATTGTGATGGCAAAATAATGCATGGAGCAAGCTGCTTATTGGTTATATGTGTTTGATTATTTTATTTGACACCAGTTTGTTTTCCTTGCATAGTAATCATTCCCGAATAGTGGCACGGAGTGACCAACCCCAAAACACTATAGCAGATAGAGTTTAGGGTCGCTATTCTGAAATTTTAAATTAAGTTACGCACATGCTGAAAAATATAAAATTAATACACAAATTAAAGACATATGCATAATTAATGATAAAAAATGAAAGTTTGAGAACATAACACATGCCAAATGTCAATAACAATAAAATAAAGGAAGAGGTAGTTTCTTTCTTGTGACTGATTGGGAGGAGCAGTCATTGCTTCTGTATTAGGCCTTTAAATTTGGAACAAAACAGAGAAGGAAATAAGTAATAAACAATGAAGGGAGATAGAAAACAGTGTTCAGTCACTAGAAAATGTTCGGGTTACGTCAAAATCTTCGTTGGAGTTGAAAAAGACGACTGAAAAACATCTTATAATGTCAGAAGCTTTGTCAGATGAAGATGACCAGAAATGTTTGGGTCACGTCAAAACATGTCTCCAAAGATGAAGATGACAAGAAATTGGTCAGAAATAGTAACTCTCGATGTTGCACTAGAGAAGCAAGAGGAACCGAAAGCATGTCCCACTGAAAAAGCAAGAGAAATAGAAAGGGAGGAAATGTTAGGGCTTAACAAGGGGGAAGATATCAGAAATGGAAAAAGAGGGCAAAATTCCAAGATTATCCCCCTTAAAAGTCAGTCCGATGTTCAAAAAGGGAGGATAAAGTAAGAATTTAACCTAGGAAATGAAATAGCACCTGCGATGGCCATGATTTGCTCTGTTCTTGGCCGCAATTCACAGCATGACAGTTGCTATATTGAAATGTTGCTATGGCCACTATTGATTACTATGTTTCCTTGTGTGTTCATAATTCTGCTTAAATTGAGGAATCTGAGTTTAAATAAAGAAATGTATGATTTTAGTATATGTAAGATTGAAGTTTGTGGTTTTAGTCAATTAAAAACCAGTCTGACACTAATGCTATTAGTGATCCAATATATATAATGGCTGCAATAGACAAGTCTAGCCATTATTTATTTTACGGTTTTTCTAATGTGTGTCTAAAGGCACACAAAGAAATTAATAAATAGTAAGTTTTTGTTGGAAATTGTATCATTTAATGTCATCAATGTATTGAATTGTGATATCCTGTGGTCTTCAATAAAATTGTACTATATATAGATTCTCTGTGTCATTGTATATACATTGGAAAACCCATTTATTTTATACCATTTATGAATTATTGGCTTACCTGAATTTGCAGAATTTTTGAAAATTAGGTCCTATTATTTCTTCATTTGTCCTGCCTGAGATATTTGCTTTTGTATTTTATTTTTGCAGTATATTTGAACATGAAGCTGTGTTAATGGGAGGTTATATCACGTAGTCATTGTTGCTATCCATACTTTTGGATAATGTTCTTATCAATTCTTGGCAACATACTCTCAATGCTGTTGTCATCAATCAAATGGCAAGTGGGTGGCATCCTGACATGTTTTCACCTGTCAAGTGTTAACTATCCAAGGTGCTCTGTATGTAAAGTTCCAATATCTTTTAATTGTATTCTAAACTTATCATTCCAGTTGTGTTTAACAGTTATCCAGTTAACATCGCAGTATGCAATAGGCAAATGCTTGTGGTTTGTGTTGCTGAGATAACTGGGAATTTTAGTTATGTTTTATGATTAGATTTACACTTTCAACTTTGTATATGGTTCAGCAACTACCCCCATTGAATTATTTGGTCCCACTCGTTATCAATGGGATCAAGGATACTTTCAGCAAGAAATATATCGAAGAGTTGGTGCTGGGCTAGCCGAAAATCAAAGTTTATCAGAAGCTTGGTCTAAAATTCCTGAAAAATTAGCTTTTTATGAAGTCAGTCCATTTAAGGTTGTGGTTTTAACTGGAATGCTAGCATATTAAGTGGTATGAATCCTCATCATCTTGAATCCTTGGGTACAAGAAACAAGGACCCAAAATGTTGAGGACACTACAAGGGGTTAGTCAAACCTTAAGTCAAAAAGTTCAATGAAGAACCAAAGAGCAAAAGCTATCAAATCTGGATTTTCCAGAAAAAATAAATTTCGATTCATTTGCCTTTGAATACAATTTAGTTTGGAAATATACAGAAATTGTTTTAACTTCGGAATTTCTAACTTAGGAAATTAACTAGACGTTAATAAACTTAATCAACCTATGTAATAGCAAAAATCATGGATCCAAGGGAAAATATGGAAAGACATTAACAAAAATAACTAAAATTCATTCAAATACATCAAGTGATTAAAAAAAAAAAACCATTATTTGTCAGCCGAAAATGAATTGATTAAGCTTAAACGTAGATATCCATGTACCCTCTATGACTCAAGCACCTAATGAGAGGAAGGATGTGACTAAGTTCGAATTCAGGTTATATAGAATTTTGTTTGGGCCAAGTGTTTTAAACAAATGCTTATAAAGTTTCCTCAAACTTCCTAACTCGTGTTGTTACGATAGGTCCAGGTAAAATTTGCCAAGGCTCTATAGAAAAGCTTGAATTAGCTTGTTCTATAGTCTTTGATGCACATCAATGGAGAAGAGTTTTGGCTATGAAAGCTTAGTTTGAGTTTTGGTTGTGCTATTTTTTTAGTGCATGTTTGAATTAGTTTGGACACTCCAAACCTTAGTATAGAAAGTTTAAACTGACTTTCATCCACAAATATGTCTAACAAAATCATGGTTGAGTTGTGTTTAAATGTATGAGATTTGTCATTTGCTTTTAGATTTTAAAAAATAATCAAAGTTTATTGTTTCTTTGTAGTTGTATCTTATATGGGTACATGTGTTGGTGTCAGTTGTACACATCTCAACTTTTACTGTCCTTAAATATTTGACAATTTTGTTATCTTCTTTTAGTGATCTTGTTCTCTTTTGCACAATATTTGCTTAATCAAATGGACTGTTGAAAACTAATAATCAACAACATTGTGATTTGCAGTTTTAGTCCATTATTCAAACTATATGTTGTATGTAAACCACTACCCATTCTTTCTTTCTTTTTATGAAAGGAAGGGGCTAAAGCCCAAAACAAGGAAAACAACAACATCCCCCTATAAAAAAGGGTTGCTGAAGAATTAGCTAACAAAGGAATATAAAGGAAATCTGGGACAACATGAAAAATTTTAGAATCAAAACTTATGCTATGAGCATGTTTAGCTAAGGCATCTGCGACGAAGTTAGCTTCACAGTAGATATGAGTCCAAACACAGGTGATAGCATGTGTTTTTTTGTCTAATCCTTGTAACCATGGGTGCACATGGGTGACAAGGACGACATCCTTTATCGAGGATCTTAACAGCAAGAAGGGAGTCAGTTTCAATCACAATATGATTATAATCCCATCTTATGGCAATATCCAATCCATGTAGGATACCCCACAGTTCAGCATAAAGAATTGAGCACGAACCTAGTTTAAAGGCATACGCGAAGCAAAAAAACCTCAATTGATCTCTGAGAACACCTCCACATGTGGCAAGATTTGTCTCAGGATAGAGAGACCCATCACAATTCAGCTTGACCCATCCCTCCAATGGGCATCGCCATCTAATTCCATTGTGGCTACCATCTATAACTGTTGTCCTTGTCGAAGTCTTCATTGCACAACAACTAGAAATCTCCTTAGCTTTATTCCTAATTTCAAATATAGTTTTCTCTATAGAATGCTTCTTATCTTTAAAAACAAAAACATTTCTCCTTTGCCAAAGTTTATAGATAGTCATCCCAAAAACAATACTCCATTCCTCCAGTGCCAGGTTATCACAAAGCCAAGTATCCAAGTCACCTGCAAGAAAAAAAGATCTATTAGTAATTGAAATTAATCAAAGCCAAACCGGTTTTACCTCATCGCAATCTCGCAGGGCATGCAAGATTGATTCATCAATGTTAGAGCATAGCGGGCACAATCCTAAGGAAGCCATGTTCCTTTGGAAACGAGTTAAGTTAGTCAAAATAGCATTATATGCGATCTTCCACAGGAGACAACGAATCCTTTGAGACCCCTTCCAATCTCAAATGAAACGAAATTTATTCTATCTTATGCTTGTATCAATCCCGGCAATAAACTTGTAAGCACTCTTAATGGTAAACCAACCGTCATTAGTATTCTTTCAAGCAATAGAATCGTCATCAATTCCATCAAAGGGTGGCATCATGGCAGCTATTTTGTTGCACCACTCAGGGTTCATAACTTGCTTGAGAAGACCCATATTCCATTGCCCATTTCGGTCTATAGAGTCACTAACAGTTTTCTCAAGATCATTACTAGTAGGCATATTAGTGGCAGTGGGTAGAAGAGGTCCAGCATGGGTCACCCAAGAGTCAGTCCAAAACTTGATTCTTCTCCCATTTCCTATCTTCCAAGTAATGTTACTTTGGAGATCATTTCAGCTAGCACAAACGCCCTACCAAAGATTTGAGTCTGCATTCCTTCGAGTCACGGTGGGTATAAGATCTGAGCCACATTTGTACTTACTATAAAGGACCTTCACCCATAAATCTTCTAGATGATTGATCAAGCCCCAACCAATCTTCATCATAAAAGCAATGTTTAGAGGTCTAGATTGGCGCAATCTGAGGCCTTCTTGGAGCTTTGGCTTACAAATAGTGGACCAATTCACCAGGTGAACTTTCCTCTTATCCGCCGAATCTCCCCAGAGAAAGGCTCAATTAATTCTATCAAGATCATCGCATACTTGTTTGGGAATCCAGCACTTTTGCATCGCATAGGCAGGGAGAGCTCCAAGCACAGATTTAGTAAGCGTCAACCTACCTGCAAAAGAGGGGGTCTTTGCCTTCTAGGAACTCAACCTTTGGTTAGCTTTATCAATAATAAATTTAAAAGTATTCCTAGAAACTTTTTTATGAAATAAAGGAACACTTAGGTATTTACCCAAATCATCAGTTCTTTGGAAACCAAAAGAGGAACTAATTTCATTTCTAATATTATGATTTACATTCCTAGAGAAAAAAAATTCTAGTTTTATCTTTATTAATGTGTTGTCCTGAACTTTGACAAAAAATATCAAGACAGGAAGATATAGAATGAACCTGATCAAGACCTACTTCAGCAAAGAGGACCAAGTCATCCGCAAAGGCAAGATGAGTAATTTTAGGACCACCTCTGGACAACTGTATAGGCTTCCACAATCCATTATCAACCGCAACATTAATAAGATGGGCAAATCTTTCCAAGCAAAGGACAAAAATGTAGGGGGAGATAGGATCACCTTGACGAATACCACGTTCAGGACTAAATTAATCCAACATCTCCCCAGTCCAAAGCAAGTTCATAGAGGGAGAGCTAATGCAATGCATGATAACCTGACGCATTTTTTTGGGGATGCCAACATCAATCAAAGTATCTGCTATGAAACTCCATTTTAGCCTGTCATAAGCTTTCTCAAAATCAATTTTGATTGCCATAAACCCCTTCTTACCTTTCAACTTCCTCATAGAATGAATAGTTTCTTGAGTAATAACAATATTATCATTCCTATGCCTCCCTGCAACAAAGCTGCACTGACTTGGCCTAACCACATGATTCATAATACTTCTCAACCAACTAGCCAACAGCTTAGTGATAGCTTTATAAGACACATTATACAAACTAATAGGCCGAAATTGCTTAATAGAAGTCACTATGTCCAGCTTAAGAATCAATGTAATGAGAGTCTCGTTAATATCTCTAATACCACTAGGACTATGATAAAGACCTTTAAGAAAAGAGCATAGAGAAGGACTCGCAATTTTCTAGTAACTCTGGTAGAATATTGCTTGGAAACCATCCTTTCCAGGAGCTTTGAGAACCTCCCACGAAAAATATAGCTTTTTTAATCTCTTCGGCAAAAATATCAATATTCAAACTATCAAACTGATTAGCAAGCATACTTGGAAAGCATCCATGGAGGCAAAACTCAATTGCTAGATCTTCGTCCTTGTATAGAGAGCGGAAGTAGTTAAGGGTATGATGTTCCAACACATAACCATCAGTAATCCAGCTCCCATCATCAGCTTGCAAACTTTCAATTTTATTTTTTTTACGTCTCACTATAGTAGTCCCATGAAAATATTTACTATATTCTTATCTCCAAACTGTAACCACTTACACTTAGACTTTTGGAACCATAGAAGCTCCTCACGCAACAAGATTTTCTCATAGTCCTTCCAAAGCTTTTGTTGAAGGCCTTCCAGATATACATTAGGGCCCTGTGAGAGACTCCTAGATATACCATCAAGCCGCTTCATAATTTCCTTTTTTTGCTTGAAGATATTACCAAAGACATTTTTGGTTCCAATCTCTCAACCCATCCCTCAGGGTAGTCAACTTAGTATTCCATGAAGATGTGTCATTCCATAAATTACGAACAACATTTGGGAGGTCCTCATGAGTTAGTCAAGCAGTCACAAAACGAAAGGGACGTCTACCTCTATTCGGACCATCAGATTTATGAAAATCCATAAGCAGCGGGTTATGATCAGATTTGAAGGGAGAAAGATGGCGGAAGCTCAAATCTAAGTCTTCAATCCAAGTTAAGAATAATTTTATCAAGACGTTCATACAACGTACCACGTTTCCAGGTAAAGGGGGAGCCAACAAAGCCAACATCCATAAGGTTACAATCTCTCATAAAGGCTTAAAATAAAGGGCAAGCTAGATTCTGAGTATCCCTCGATCCACCTTTACGATCCCAACTATTCAAAGTAGTATTGAAGTCACCAACCAAGCACCAAGGTTGAGAAGACACTGATTGGACAATGTTCTTTAAGTTATACCAAAGGTCACGTCTTGATAAGGCTTGGGGGTTGCCATACACCGCAGTTAAGAACCAAGGATCATCATTATGCCATTGTACCTTCATGTGAATAAATTGGACACCAGAGATAATCACAACCTTCCAGCTATTAGTATCTCATAAACACCAAATATCCCTTGCATGACCAAACGCATCTACCACGAAAAACTCATTAAAGCCTATCTTTTGAATGATTTTTTTTGCTCTGTCTCCACCTGTATGTGTCTCCATAAGGATCATCAAATTCACATTATGCGATCTATGCAAGTCCTGTAATAGCCTAGGGAATCCTTTGTGACCAGTCCCCCTACAATTCTAAGATAAAATATTCATTTAGACTGTTGGAAAAGATAGTTGTCACAACCATTCATCATACTGAGCGTGGTATCAACCATGGGAGCATCCAGATTCTCGGGCCTTCTTGATTTATCAATGACCATATCCTATTCACTACTGCTACAATTGCTTCTAATTAACTCTGGAGGTTTAAGAATAGCAGATGCAACATCATTTTTTATCCTAATGTTTATACCAAAATACACTTGCTCTTTGTTCGGATAACAATTATGAGTAGTGAAATTATCTATAAAACTATTCCCATAAGGGGCCATCTTTTTCATATCACATAACATTCCTGTCTCTTTTTCTTTCATCATGATTTTTTCCTTGTCCAAAGCAGTAGGGTCACTTTGACGTTCAGAAGAAAGATTATCTTTCTACACAATTAAATTATGCTGTATGGACTTATTCTTCGGGTTCCTTAAAGAAATTACAGGTTATTGGGCTTTCCCAGCTTTGGTCTGAGGATTTTTGCCTTCAAAATTTATACGGACCTTAGCTTCTAACGAGGTGGACTGCTTTTCCTTAATTGGGCCTTCATTCTGCTGAGGCCCTTCATTAACATCACCCACATCCACATGGTCCTCCATTTGATGCACTTCACATACAGAAATCTGCTCTTTCTCTTCATTCATTAAGGCTTTAAACCGTTGAGCCATAGTAAATTGGGTGTTGCGAATTTTACTCACAGGAATTGAAGTCCCTTCATTACTTACCAATTTCTCTTTTTTTTTTCCTAACAGGTTTTTTAACCAACATCTCGGGACTGAAATATCTCTTGGTATCATGCGATCTGTATAATCCTCCGGTTCCTGATTTCTCGCGAGATTCTCTCTCTTTACCATTTTTAAATTGTGTCATTGAAACGCTGACGTTAGCTCTACCTTCGTATGTAACTTGGTCTACTGTCATTGCTAGCACGAGTTCCATGGATAATTGTTTTTGGTTCAGCAAGAATCCTTCCGTTGACCATATTTACCACAGTGAAAACAAATCTGATGTAGTCCCTGTACAAGGGAGCAATGATGCAATCAAATTAGCCTCAATTAATGTGCTATTATAAAGTTATTTCTTCGCAGTTTTGCAGCAAATCATTTGTCAAAATATGGTTTAGGGTTTTGCAAATGGAATCTACCTTTGAACTTCAGTTGTAAACCCGGATTGCTCTAGTTTCAATTAATAATTACTGTTTTCTACTGCTATAATATTTTCATGTTACGGAAAAATAATACTTTTCCCCTTAATTAATAATACGCACCATTAAATTTTATTTAAATAGTCAAAATTAAAATGAAAAATTTGTACTTCTCACAAATTTAAAATAAAAATCGTTCTTACAAACACTTTAAATATTTAAAATTTATTAAGTTGTTTCTTTGGCCCAGAAATTTTGTTAAATTATTAACATAATCAAGATTAAAAGAAATTTCCGTAATATTTTTTAAATTGGTCTTAAAATAGTCAAAATTAAAAGAAAAATACATATAACTATTTAATTTGTATATGATCTAAATTGTACTTCTCACAAATTTAAAATAAAAATTGTTCTTACATATATTTTAAATATAATCTGGTTTGTTTCTTTGGCCCAGAAATTTTGTTAAATTATTAACATAATCAAGATTAAAAGAAATTTCCGTAATATTTTTTAAATTGGTCTTAAAATAGTCAAAATTAAAAGAAAAATACATATAACTATTTAATTTGTATATGATCTAAATTGTACTTCTCACAAATTTAAAATAAAAATTGTTCTTACATATATTTTAAATATAATCTGGTTTGTTTCTTTGGTCCGGAAAGTTTGTTAAAGGATTAAAATAATTAAAAGAAAAATACTGGTGCCATTTTTATAAACTAATCATGTGACTGATCTGTTCTTATATACACATTTTTAAATATTTAAAATTAAAATTTGTCTTTTTGGTCTAGAAATTTTGTAAACTGAAAAGAAAATACTAGTTCATTTATTAAACTTCAATTTTTGTAAATTAATTTATAGATCAAATTCTGAATTAATTAATAGCTCAAATCCATATTTTTCCCTAAAAGTTATAGGAAAATTTCTAATACATTTGTTTAATAATCGAACATCGTGCAACAATAATTTTAAAATTTTTCACCACTGCAAAGACTTCAAAAATGAATTTTGCAGAAACCCTTTTCTAATAATGAATGATAGTTACCAAAACCAAAAAAAAAAATTATAACAAGACTTGGCAATCACCTCAGTGTGACAGCATTATGGTACTAGTAAGAACATAACATCAATGGATGCATGAATGGGACAATTCACATAGAAAACAGCCACATAGCAAAAAATACTCCAACAAGGCCATTTGGCAAAGCTGTGGCACTGCTTGTCGGACTTGGAGCAACAGCTGGACCTTCAAACTCTGCTGAAGAAGGTGAAGGTGAAGGTGAAGTTGTTGGCGAAATAGCACTGTTCGTTCTTCCCCTTGGAGTCAAAACCACCACAACCAGCTTTTGACCCTTCTCACAGTGACCCTTTGCTCCACTTATGAAGTAGAATGGCCCAGGATGTTCAAGCTTCACCTTTGTGTTCCCATCATTGTACTCTTTTATGGGCTTTGACACACTACAATTACCATAATCCTCTCTGTTTACTTCTATTACTGAATCTTTCCCACCATCATATTTCCAAACTGGGCACAAAAATGAGCAACTTATCAAATTTCCGCAGCTTGCTTAAAATATGGACAAAACTTACAATTCAGTTGGTATTTTTATTCAATTAAATTCAACGTTGTATCTCAAATATAGATTTTGTCTCAATAACTAAAATAAAGATAAGTATTCTGATTCCATCGTTTATAGATGTTTAAATTCAGTCAAGGTTGATAATCACATAATTGCTAAAATAATCATTGTTAAGATAAAATGCTGATTTTAAAAGTGAGCAGTACTTAATGTTTAATAGTTAAAATAAATATACAAAAAAGATAAATAATGGAAATAAAGCTACTACCAAGATAGTCGCCAACTTGGAAACGAGATCTTTCAGCCCATTGATTGAGCGAGTCTGACTGAGAAGAAGGAATCTTCCATGCATCTGTCTTGCCTCCAACCAATGTTTCCTTAGCTACAGAGAACCCAAAGAGAAGGAAAAACACCAAAAGAGAAAGTGTTGAAAAGCCAGCCATTGTTTTCTATCAAAACTGTGTTGATTTTTTTTTTCTTTTTGTTTTTTTGGTTTTTTTCTCACAGAAGCATAGCCTAGAATAGAATCAAGGGTTTTGCAGTGACTCGGGGTGGAACATTGTATTTATGGTGGCTGTGAGAACTGAAAATTTAAAACTAGCCGTTAAGAGTCCTTGGGAATATCGAGTGAGATTTGGATTTAAAGATACAATTTTTATTAAATGAATATTAACGGCTATGTTAATATTAATTTCTTTTTATATTCTCGGTGTAATAAATATTTTTAATAAATTTCTATTTGCTCAAACTTAATTTTAAGAATTAAGGTTAATATTTTTACTTATATTTTTTAACATATATATTCACTGTTAAGCACATACAATGAAAACTAGTTTTTAATAAAAAATACTATATATTAATTATTAATAGGCATGTTTAAATCATATTAAAAATATTTTAATTAATAAATTTTACAATGAATTTTGAGCATAAAGGAGGATAAATTTGGAACAGTAACGGTCAAAAAGCATTATATTATGATAATTGAAATTTGGAAGGGCCTGCATGTGTCTGTGTGCAGTGTGCAGCATCTGATATTTTACTTTTAGTGCAAATTTTGTAGAAACGGATAAAATTTTCAATTGAACAGAGAAAATGGAGCTTGAAACTTTGCATTGCATTCACTTTCTCCAAAAGCTTTCAATTTGGTCCAATCCTGCTCCATACTATCTACGAGACTGTGTACTCTTTTAAAATAATTTTTTGTATACTGTTAAAAAAAGTTATTTTAAATATTAATAATTAATATATATTAATAACTATAATTTAAGAGAGAAGACTCAAATAAATTTTAAATTTGAAAAAATAAAAAATAACATAATTTTTATAAATATTCAAATAAGTATTTACAAAAGAATATACAAATTTATACAAAATAATAAAAAAATTAAGTGACAATTTTAATTTTTAAAATTTAAGATAAAATTAACAAAAATGTGAGTAGTATATTCATTAAAAATTATATTAAAACATATTGAAATAATAAAATATTTTATAAATCTTATTAATTAATGTTCAGTAGAGAATTAAAATAAAATATATTCATTAAAAGTTATATTAAAACATATTAAAATCATGAAAAAAATATTAATAATATTTTAAAAATAGTGATTAGCATTTGTCTAACTTTTTATAAGTTCTAATTGAAAATATTTGTTTAGGGAACAAATAAAATAATGGATTGTTTGAAGTTTATTATTATTCCTAAAAAAATGGTTTTAGTCGGTTATTTAAATTTATCACAAATAAGTATGAAACTTCTCGCAATTAAACAAAAGCATTTTTGGTAACAAATTAAAATTTAGAAAATAACTCAAATTTATTTAAAATAGAATATGATTTAAACTAACTTCATTTTATCTCTACTCAAAAGTATCACAATATTAAGTATATTTTACATGAAATTTTGCAACGAAAAATAGACTTTCAAATATATTTTTAATAATTTAATTAAAATTAGTTAAAAATTATGGCAATTGAAGAAGGCACTAGATGGATGCTTCACTCGGTGAATACAGACGTACACTCATTAAGCAATTGAAAAGGCTTTTTCATTTGTTGAATTACGCGTGCATGGCTTCAGTGACGCGTAGCAACTACGTGTTTGTAACAGAGCCAAGTTGGGGTAAGACGTGGCTAACAACGTTATTTCATCGTTTTGAGGTACATTGGTAATTAAGTGACAACAACGTAATAATATTCCAAATGCAGAGAGGGAGAGACATGGATGAAGGAAAGGAAGAGTGGAAGAAAATGAGTAAAGAACAAGCACAAGCAGAAGCCTCAAAGAGAGGGGCGGGTCATGGTGCTACTGAAGTACTTCACCAAAGGAAATCACTTCCTTACAACTACACCACAATGGCCGTAGCTGGTTTGCTTATTACAGCTGCTGTAGGATACTTTGTCTTATACGCCAAGAAGAAGCCCGAGGCTAGTGCTAAGGATGTAGCAAAGGTTTCTGTTGGTGTTGCCAAGCCTGAGGAGACTCATGCTAGGAAATAAAATCAATATCATCATATATGTATGCGTTTGTTGGGTGGGATCATCGATGACTCAATGGTGTTTCTTCATTTTATGTTTCTTTTTGTGTTTAATTATTGTTATAAGGGAAGAAGTACGACTACAGGTTTGTGGTAGAAATGTAAAATCACGATACCAAATGAAGCAAAATGCTATGCCTTGTTCTACTTCATATCATACACGTTAATATGATGTTTGTTAATTTGTCATATTCTTAATGGTAGTTTTCAAAAAATAGTATTTTCACAATACTTCACTATGCGTGTTGTGTAAAGAATTGACAAAAGGGTAGTCCAATTGTATTTTAGATTGGTTAGTCATTTTTATTTTTTTTGGAGCTCAATCTTTTTATGATTGTATCCTACTTGAAGCAGCGCACATTGAGTTGCTTTCTGCCTCTGCCTCAACCATTTTGATCACAGATTGTGTTACCGACATTATATTGGTTAAGTAATCGTATTTGAGTATATATATAAAATTGGATTGACGGGTTCTTACGTAAGTCAGTTGGTTCGATCTTAGTTAAACTACAATATAGATGTATTTTAAAAGTGAATTAATTTTATCGCAAGTTTCATAAATTAGTTCTAATCCACTCAAGGAAAAATATTCCGAGTTATTCATTGTAAAATAATACAAATTTTAAGAATTAGTTTATATGTAAAGCAAAAGAAGTAAAATTGCCTTCCCTCTTCTTAGAATTGATAAGAGTAGGGTATGAATAGTCAAGATAACGCTTACGTCCTTTTATATGCTAAAACTATATACCTCCTAAAATTAAAAGGAATGAACAAGAAAGAGAATTTCTGAAACAACTGCTAATCTCAAGAGAAATCTGTATAATTATGTCATTGATAAAATAGTATGGAAGCAGGGATCAATGCATCTACTGCATACTGCTTTGGAAACTAGTAGCACAAACAAAAATAAAAAACTTGCAAAGCCATAAAGAATTTCCCATTATATATGAATTTTGGTTCACTTGAATTATTTATCAAATGTGCAATCCTCACATTTGCATCTGGAGGATAACCAAGTTATAAAAAAAAAGCGTACGGTTCCGCATAATAATAAGGTAAGAAGAAAGACAATTCAAAGGGCATCGATGCTCATGAATGCGAACTACGTTGACGAAAATTCATTTTTATTACACTGCTAATAATAAAAAATCATCTGACACAGAGCCAAATTGTCATTCTCCGAGATTAACACAGAAACAGCCAACTTAGACTGCAGGGTACCTTAAAATCTATACTTGGGTAACTCAGGCAAGTAAAAGATATTGAAACAAAAGAATAACGGTGTCGTCACAATTCAAAATTGTATAGAATAGGTTACATCTGATTCTGAACACGACAGTACCCGAATTTCAAAATCCTTACACAAATGTTCTTCATCCTTTCAGAAGTATAGTAGCTTAACCCAACCACTGATTGCTATCACTAATCAATTTTGACTGAGGAGTAGATAAGCCTTGTGAACCAAAAGCATGCGTAAAATCCGATGGTTCCGGTCACAACAAAAAAGGCATAGGACGCTATAAGCATATAACCGAAGTATAATATCCCTGATACAAACTTCGTGATTTCAAGCTTGGTGAAGAAGTAGAATGTCGCATAAAGAAAGAGGTACATAGCAGAAGAGCCGGATGTGAGATATGATCGCCACCACCACAAGTAATCCTCACTGCACAACTGGAAGTAGCAAAGCACAATGGTTATTTCAGCACAAGTGACAATGAGGATGACAAAGACCAAAAAGAGGAACCCGAAGATGTAGTAGAACTGATTCAACCAGATTGAAGTGAGAATAAAGAAAAGCTCAATGAAAACAGCTCCAAATGGAAGTATTCCCCCGATCAGGACTGAGAAGACTGGATTCATGTACCACGCCTGCTCGGGGATCTGCCTTGGGATTTTGTTAGTCTTCACAGGGTTCTCAATTGCAGGCTTCTTAAATCCAACATAGGCACCCACAAATACAAGTGGAACAGAGATCCCAAACCACAAAAAGATCAAAGCAAACATTGTTCCGAATGGCACAGCTCCAGACGATTTTTGTCCCCATATGAGAGCATTTAATACAAAGAAAATGGCACAAACAGTTGCAGGGAACATGATTGCAGTTCTGAGGGCAATTTTCTTCCACTCCGTTCCTTTGAACATTTTGTACAAGCGGGCTGAGGCATAACCAGCAAAAATCCCCATGAAAACCCAAAGCAAGAGCATGGCTGTCATTAGCCCACCTCGATTTGAAGGAGAAAGGAACCCCAGGACAGCAAACATCATTGTCACTACTACCATCCCAAAAAACTGAACACCAGTTCCAGCATAAACACACAGCAAATCTGAGTTGTTTGGTGGCCTAAAAACATCACCATGGACAAGCTTCCAACCAGTCTCTTCCTGTGCTTCTTCTTGGGTCTCTAACTCATTGTATTTTGAAATATCACGGTAAAGTGTACGCAGCATTATCATTGCCACCATTCCCGAGAGAAAAAGAACAATCATCAGAGAGTTCACAATTGAGAACCAGTGAATCTGGTCATCACTCATCAGCAAATAGGCATCCCATCTTGAAGCCCACTTCACATCACTCTCCTGAATGTAGCCAAAGGTTCAAGTCATAAGAAATTGATACCATAATCAGATCCTTTCCCAAAATAACAACGAGAGAAGGACCAGAAAAACTACGATAAAGATAAAAGGAAGAAAAAATAAAAATGGAATTTGATCTACTTAAGGTGTATTTAGGTTAAAAGTTTAATCAAGTGCCCTCAGGGTTTAGAGTATAAATTTAATTATAAAACTTAATGGAATTTGAAATAGGCAAAGTGCTCGTTATAATAACCTAAAAAAAGCGTACAAGAAATAAGAGGTGTAAACAATTTTGATAGACTTTCCATAAGCTCTTCCAAGTACCC